TGGGGATTGAACTCAGGCCCTTACACTTGCCAGGCAAGCACTTATTCTACTGAGTTATCTCTCCCATCCCTGATTGTCCTGTTTACTGCCTCCCAAGTTCTGGGATTACAGGCACAGGCCACAACACCCAGTCTCAGTTGCCTTCTCTGCACACCCTGGGGGCGGGGCCAACAGGCAGGCCAAGATCCAAGTCCTGGCCCCTGTGTCTGCCTCTGCAGGCACTTTAATCCGCTGAGCTATTTGGCTGGCTCTGGTCCACTTTTTTTAAATCCTTCTTGGTAATACCAATTTTTTATGTGATAGTTTATATAGTAAACATTAATTTTCTACTTGGTAGCTGCAGGTTATGATGTTGTATTTTTTGAAGAGTAATGATCTGAATCTTCAACTTATAATCACATTGTCACCTATTTTAGTTACAATGAGAAATTAGGAAGTAGAAGGTTTAACTGCCTTATATTGGGCCAAAGCACTCTTTTCAACATTATTTACATATACAGAAAGCAAATAGAGATAATTCTAGTTTGAAAAATGTGGTGACTTATTTTTCAAACACTAAAATTTATCATAAGACATTAACTTGTCATTTTTTGGTGTTAGTAACAGTTACCTTAACAAGAAGCATAACAGTAGTGTACTAGATTTCCCAGGGAGTTCTAAATTTATTTACTTATTTTTTATATTTAATATCATTTATTTATTTTTTGGAACCTGGGATTAAGCTCAGGACTTTGCGCTGGCCAGGTAGATGCTTGTGCTTCTGAACTCTTCCCTTCCCCTATTTTTTGAATCAGAGTTTTTTTCCACATTTCAGTAGCATTTGTTAAAACTGGTATATTTTTATGGCACTGAAGGTTTTGGTATGTCACATGATACACAATGAGTTGAATATAAACCTTAGTTTTTATTTTAAAGATACTGGTGTGAGTGTAGGGTTCCATAAAAGTTTTCAGGATTACTAAGAAATTGTCATATAAATAAAACAGTAAAAACTTGAAGTCAAGACTTTTAGCATTCCAGTTTTAATCCAACAAATTGGAACTCTGTTGAAGAGCTCATATGTGTCACATACTGCTGTTTGGTTTTTATATAGGGTTTATTTATTTATTTATCTTGCTGTAATCCTGAGAGAAAAACTGCCTAGATTGTGCCCTAACTTAAGTTCCGAAGCAATTTTGGATATTACTTGTTTGTAGTTTTATATTCAAAGTGCCCAGAAATTAGCTTTAAGTTGCATTGTTGCCTGCTGCATTAGTAAATAGTGTATGTATGAGCAGAATGTAGTATAGAAATCAAATCTGAGGTAAACATATAAAATATAGAAAAACATGCTAAGAGTACATTAGAGATGTTACAGTGCTTGTAGGTGATTATATCAAATTTATTTTTTTTTTCTTTGGATTTTAGGGAGAGGTCTGCAGGGTGTTCAGGGTCTCATGACTAGATTGGACTCATAGTGATCCTCCTGTTTACAGTCTCCTAAATGCTGGGATTATAGGCTTGTGCCACCACACCCAGTCTCAGTTGCCCTCTCTGTGCGCCCTGGGGCAGGGGCGGGGCCAGCACTGCAGCCGCACCCCCCCCCCCCATTGAACTACATCTCCTGTGTCTTGCTTGTAGGTGCTTTAATCTGCTGAGCTATTTGGCCCACCCTTTCATTTTACCTGGAGTTCTCTTTTCCATTGCACATAATAAAATTGTTTTTGGATGTTTTAAACAAAAGAAAAATGATAGGGCCAGTGAGATAGCTCAGCAGATTAGAACACCTGCTCAGGCAAATTTAGGCAAGCATAGTGACCACGGTTAGATTCCAGGCACCACATGTGGAGCCAGCTCTGCCCCCAGGATGCACTGAGAGTCTGGGTATGGTGGCACATGCCTGTAATCCCAGCACTGGAGAAGCTGAAAGCAGGAGGATCATCAGGAGTCCGAGCTGCATAGTGAGATGCTGTAATAACCAAATACATTAAAAAGAAGAGAAAATGATAAATTATTTGTATAAGAAGTTTTTAAAGTCTTGATCTTTTTTGGTGTCAGGCATTGTACTCAGGACCTTGGCAGGCATGTGCTTCCTGGGCCAAAGTCTTGATATGTGGTATAAACTAAAAGATAATAAAATACTTTCAGATTCTATTTTTAATTATATATTTTTTTAAATTTCCATTGAAAAAATTTTTTTTGAAATATATTCTTATTATTGTAATTATAATATGATTACATTTCTTTTGTGAAAATTAAAACTTGTTTTTCATTTCAGCGTTTTAGGGAAAAGCTTCCTTCATACGGATTGCAAAAGGTAAAGTATTTTATATTAGTTAGATTTACAAATATTTAAACTTTTTTTTAAAGCATTTTTTAAAATATGTAACAGGAAGTTAATTTTATTCTATTGTTGGAGAATGAAAGGGAAAATGTCATGGAGTAGTTTTCTGGATTTCTTATCATATTTGTGTCCATAATTGAAGTCTCTAAAATTTATGAAAGGCAATTTTCATATATAAATGACTTTGGATAAGTAGTATGCTCTTAATTTAAGACTAAGCATTTTAATTAAAATTGAGGCACTCTAAAATATAGTAGTTTAAATTTTTATATCTCTTCACATGATTATATAGAATAACATAATCCCCCGTCCTTCTCTAGCCTCTCAACCTTATTTATTTTTATTTTTCTTTGCTTTTCATAGCACTTATTACCACCTGACATCTGTGTGTCTCCCCTTCCTAGTCCAATGTAAGTTCTTGAGGACAGGGTCTGTTTTGTTCAATCTCTATCTCTTGACTCAGAGCAGTGCCTGGCATTATATAGAACATCTGGTAAATGTTTGTTGAATGAATGAATTTTATTCCACTCCTTAGCACAGTCGTCCCTCTGTATCCATGGAAGATTGATTCTGGGATCCACTGTGGATACCAAAATCCTCAGGTGCTCAAGATGCTTATATAAATAGCTATATAGTATTTACATATGATCTAACTCATTTACTTGTGTATTTTAAGGAATCTCTAGACTATTGTAGTATGTAAGACAAAATAAACAGTTGTTAGACTCTGTATTGTATGTGGAAAAATGATTAGAGTTTAGTATAAACTCAGCTATCTTTTCAGATATTTTCTATTTCTGGTTGATAGATGCAGAACCCATGAATATGGAGGGCGACTGTATTCATTAACAATCATTTCAGTGTTAAAAGATAATTTTTTATATTACAGTATTAAACTAGGTGGAAAATTTGTTAAATGTAGATTATCAAGTTAAATTATTTGTAGGTGAAAATATAGTTCATTATACCCTTTTCAAGTAGTGGGATGGTTAATATTAAAGATATTAATATGTATATGAGATTTTTAAGACTGTCTTCACCAAAGTTGTGCTTTTGTAAATACCTACACTTTACTCACTTAGGTATTTAAACACTTATTTTAATTACTTGAAAGCCAGTAAAACACATAACAAAGTAATGTGCATAACTTGGCCAGCAGTAGTCAGTGATTTGCTTTTGTGGTCAGAATGTCAGTATTCTTTTAATTTAATGTTAGTATCTCTGTGTGGAATTTAGGAGCTGTTGCTTCCTGTTCTTGTCACACTTTTTCTTTAGCAGTGCCTTGGCTCTTGTGCTTCGTAATTTTGATATCCAAATTGCTTGCACTGCTTATGCCAGACTTTAAAAAGCATTAATGTATTTGTTGAAATATATTTTTCAGTACAGTAGAATTTTGATTACTTTCCTTTTAGTCTTAGCATTTTCTTAATTTATCTTTCCTTTTAAAATAGGAGTTGGTAGATTTAATTGATAAACACCAGGTAACAGTAATAAGTGGTGAAACTGGTTGTGGAAAAACCACTCAAGTTACTCAGTTCATTTTGGATAACTACATTGAAAGAGGAAAAGGATCTGCGTGCAGAATAGTTTGTACTCAGCCAAGAAGAATTAGTGCCATTTCAGTAAGTAAATCTTTCACTTTTTTATCTCCTATTCTCCTGTAAATAATTTTAGTGGAACTTTGCGTTTTAAGGTTGGAGTGATTTTTTAATCAGGGTTAGTATTTGTTGATAAATATTTTGAAGGTGAAAAGATTGATGCTGTGAATTGAAGATAAATTATTAATACAGAAAAATTTCAGTATAAATCCAGAAGAATGAAAATTCAATAAAATGTTTATAGAATAGATGACAAGTTCTAAAATCTTCCTCCTTATTAGAAACTTCAAATTTTTCCACTTATTTGTTCAATTCCGTGATCTTAGTATATAGTTGTACTGAGTAGTGCTGAGCCAGGGATGCCTCATTTTATGTAATCCACATTTCTGTAGTCAGTGGATAAATGCAGCTATGCAGTATGAGGAAGTTTATCATTAGGAAAATTAAGGCATTGTTCTGGGGCTTTTCTGCATGCATGATATGCATAAGTCCACATCTCAGGACAGTACATGTAGATAGTTGTAAGTACACTTTCACAAATGACATTTTTTTATAGAGATTTTATTGTCTTTAAAAGACCTATATGTGGGTTATGTATCATTCGAAGATGTTTGGGATTTCTTAGAACATTCAGTGAGTATTGTTAACTATATAGTAATATATAATTCTGTGTATAAATTATGCAGCTTTAGTTCTGTCTTTAATTTTGTGATAGTACTGTTTATCACAATACTGAGTGATTTAGTACAGGATCTGTGGTTAGGAATTACCAATTATTATAGCCATTTTGAGGGATAAATAGAAAACATTTTAAGCTATATGTAGTACGTATTTTAAGTGCAGCAACAAGATAAATACCTGAAATCCCAGAATGGTGAAAAGGAAAACTTGTCATAAGTTACATACCTCTACACTTATTTTCATTACTATATGGCAGTATGTATATGTATATATAGATACATACAGGTGAAATGCTAATTATAGTTTTAGTGATTTTTTATTTTTCTAAGATTTGCTTAAATTTGTGTGAATTAATATGGTCCGAGTTGTGTATTCCAGATGTATTTGTTGGAAAGGTTTACTTCTAGAATATATCAATTGTCATTTTTGCTTCTTACCTCATTTTATCACTGTCCTATGACTAGGTGACTTGGTTATTTTTTAAACTCACTATTAAATTTGAATCGATTTGCCCAGTTTATATTTGGTAGTCACTACTGAGAAATTCAACAGTATCAGTCTCTAGCACAAACAAAACAACTAAAACAAACCAGGAACAAGGCAAGAGTATCAGTATTTTTTTTATTTGAAGTTATAAGTTTTGCAGATTTGGCTGTAATTTCCAACTAAAGTCAAAAAGAAAACTAGAAATTATTAAGAGGAGTGTCCCTCAAAAGAATGTTGAGAATAATGATAAGAATTTGGTCTTGAAGGTCTTTATAAGAGTAAATGATAAGTATGCATAAGAAGTAGGTGATCAACTTTTAAGTTTTAGATTTATCAGATTTCAATAAATAGGTATTTTAAATGCATCTGAAAATTTGAAGAACTATTTTTTATCAATCTTGAATTTTTGGGGCCTGAGAGATAGTGATAAGTGCTTGCCAGCAAGTGCAGGGGCCTGAGTTCAATCCCCAGTTCCACAAAAAAAAAAAAAAATCTTGAATTTTTGTAGATGTTCAGGGTATTTGTCTTAAAAAGAAATTGTATTTTCTTTGTAACTGTGTTTTATTTAAATTAAAGGTGGCGGAGAGAGTGGCTTCAGAAAGAGGAGAATCTTGTGGCAATGGTAATAGTACTGGATACCAAATTCGTCTCCAGAGGTAAAGAGTGTTCAGTTTTGTAAAGGTAGATTTTCAGGAAATTTTGAAATTGGAAGTTCAAAATAAAGAACTGAAGATTACAATTTTTTTTTTTTTTAAGATTGTAGTTTTTATGCTGGTTATTACTATTAAAATTAACATTTACAGCAGCTGCAGCATAAGTGGCTTTGCTACTGCAGTGTCACCTTTTAACCCCAAACTGCCTTTTTAAAAATGTACTTCTATACTATAGAATGATTAGAAAAATAACTGTAGTGGTAGTTCATTATTTCTACTCTAAGGATTTGATTTTCTGTACCTTTTTGTTTACCAGTCAGTCCCTATTTGACTACATTTGGTTTTTGGTATCTTGAAATCCTCGCTCCTTTCATCTCCCCTAAACTTCTTCTGACCTTTTCTGGAGACAGTATTCCTTTACCTATTTAAATGAACAGTTCTAAAATGTTAAGTGTGAAGATTTCCTTTGAAAGTTTTATGACATCCAGGAAGGTGTTAAAAAAGAAAATCAAGATTAACTTAATACATTTCATTCACAGTCGATTGCCAAGGAAACAGGGTTCTATCTTATACTGTACAACAGGAATCATCCTTCAGTGGCTCCAGTCAGACCCGTGAGTATGTTTCAATTAAGGAATTAGAATTTATAATCGAAAGACATTTTCAATTTGAATTTTTCTGGTTATTAAAGAATATGTTTTGTAGTGAGTTGTATACATCATACTTCCTGTTTCAGGCACTTGTCCAGTGTCAGCCATATTGTACTAGATGAAATCCATGAAAGAAATCTACAGTCGGATGTTTTGATGACTGTTATTAAAGATCTTCTTATTTCTCGCTCCGACCTGAAAGTAATATTGATGAGTGCAACATTGAATGCTGAGAAATTTTCAGAATACTTTGGTGAGTAATATTAATTATTACATATAGAAGGTACCAGTAAACCACTACATGTAACTCTTTTTTTTGGGCAGAACCAGGGATTGATCTCAGGCCCTTGCTCTTGGCAGGAAAGCCCTTATTCTAATTAGCCATCTCCCCAGTCCCTACATTTAACTTTTTTACAAAACTGAGTTAAGCCAAGCATGGTGGCACATGACTGTAATCCTAGCACTCAAAGGCAGAGGCAGGAAGATTGCCTTGAGCTTAATGCCAGTCTGAAATAGTGAGATTGTTTTAGAAAACAAAAACCAAAGTAACGAAAATTAATGAAATTATGTTCTGTAATTCTAGTTTTCTATATCAGAGAACTGGGTCTTTTTTTTTTTTTCATTTATTTATTTGGTACAGGATATCACTATGCAGCTCAGACTCATAGTGATCTTCCTGTTTTCAGCCTCTCCAGTGCTGAGATTACAGGAGTGCACCACCACACCCAGATCCTCTCACAGCTCGGTGGGCCCTAGGGGCAGGGCCCAGGTGGCATGCAGGAGCTGGGATGGAACCCTGTGTAGGAGTCACTTCCAGGTCCTCGTCTTGGTCCAAGAAGCCAATATTTGTAATCCCAAAGTTATATTATTGGAATCCCATCAAGTTGATTCCAATCTACCACTTTCAGTGCAACCCAGGGTAAAGAAAAAGACATTAAATTATATTTTCAATCATTGTAGAGCCAAGGGGCTCTAAGTTCAGCCATGAAGATGGCTTTCCGGAACAAAGAGTGACCCAGGACCTCGCCAGGTTTTTATTCAGTTGGGGAGTGGTTTGAGGAGGATTGACAGAATTGTGGGAAATAGGTGACCATTGTGAGCTGAGCTAGGTGAATGGCCTACATTTACCTCCGCCATATGCAGAGAAAGTAATCTGCATTATACTATTATGCCATTGAGATAGCATCTAATGTTTTGAGGGGTTTGGTGCCTCAGCTTTGATAGAGTCTTTCAAGCCCCAGGAAGTCATAGCCTCTATCTTGAGGCTCTATCCCAGCTGGCGGCATGGAGCATTAGCTCTTCCGTCGTGTCTTGACCCAGCTCACATTAAAGAGCAGCAGGTATAGGTTACCAGGGAAACACACACGCATGCCACCTTCAAAGACTGATCACCAGCACCTCAACTAGACCAATAGACATTGCTTAAGGCCAATTGAAGGATAAACAGAAGTCCTAGTCAGCTCTGTACATAATAATGCAAGAAAATAGGGTCAGGCTCAGTCAAAATGGAGACAGTCGCTCTTCTTTCAAGGAGAGCTGCCCAGGTGGTCCTCCACAACCCTGGTCCCTGAGCTTGCCAATGAGCCTATTTTTAATGGTCTTCTTACTGCTTTTCCCAGAGAGAATACAAGTAGTTTCTTGGCACTGTTACCACACAATGTGAGGTGGCATTATTAAGTCAAACCACATATTTGAATAATTTTATAAACACCTTTGGTGATTCTTCTGTGTTGTTTATGTACTGTCACAGGCTAGAATGACTATTTGCTCATAATAATAAAATATTAATAACCTTATTAGATTTTTTGGGATTTTTGTCTATTAATCCTTGTTAAAACTTATGTTGTATATAGTGATATTAGGCCAAGTTTTACAAATGAGAAAATAGCATATGAGCAGTAAAGTAACTTAACTCATATTTGCATAATTACAAAAACACAAGAGTAAAAATCAAGGCATATTATGAGAATCCAAATAAATTTTAAAAATTTATTAGACACCTATAACTAACACTAAGTGTCTTGCTCCGACTTGCACAGATCAGAGGCAGAGCAGTGGTAGCACAGATGCTTCAGCCTCCAGTGCTGTCTTGGCCTTTGTGTGTAGCATGTGTAATTGCTTGTCATAGTATCAAGGTGACTTTTTTTTTAAGCTGGTCATTTTCAAATGGTATTGAGTTAATATCTGATTTTTTTTTTTTTTTTTTTTTGGAGGAACCAGGGGTTGAACTCAGGCCCTTGCACTTGCCAGGGAAGTGCTTAATCCACTGAACCATCTCCCCGGCCCCCAATGTCTGATTAAGTCCTACTCTGAATACTCCTTCACTCCCAAAAACCTGGATGTCATCAGGGATAAGGCCAGTTATAATACAGCTTAGATTCCCATGCAACACCATTTTGGCAAATGGTGAAAACAAAAGTAGAAATCAGGTTTTGAATTCAACTGAAATTGGTTCAACTCTCTCATAGTGTAGAATTGGTTTCTGCCTTTAGTTAAACTAGATTAGGAAAAATACTATACTACAAGACCATTTTCTAAAATTAGGAATAGAGTCATTTTTTTATTTACAGTATGTTGAGTTTTTTTTTAAACATTTGAATACAAATTTATGTTTTTTCTGCTGTCACAGGTAACTGTCCAATGATACATATACCTGGTTTTACTTTTCCAGTTGTAGAATATCTTTTGGAAGACATAATTGAAAAAATAAGGTAAGTAGCTAATAGAAAATAAAAGCTGCAACTGTGTTGCTTCTGTTAGTTATACTTTGTTAGTCTCAGAAACTTTCATTGACCACTTCCTTCTACAACATTATTTTTCCATGGATCCAGGGATTTTTCAAATGTTGGTACTCATTACCTGATGTTTAAAAGTTCAGGGCTGGTGGGGGCTTGGGATTTAGCTCAGTGGCACAGTGCCAGCTTCCCAGGCATGAGGTCCTGAGATTGATTCCTAGTACCAAAAGAAGCCAAAAATAAAGATGTAAAAGTCCAGGGCTGGGGAGAGAGCTCAGTGGCACAGTTCCTGCCTGGAAAGTACAAGGTCCTGAGTTTAATCCCCAGTACCAAAAAGAAAAAAAAAAAAAATACAGATGGCCCATTCATGTTCCATACTTAATTACATTACAGAGTTTGGGTTCATTTCCAGGGATCTCTAGTTTTTAAAGATTCTTGGTCAGCAAAGATTGGGGACTTGATGTGTTTCATTATTTTCCTACCTGTCTTTTGTCTTTGGCTGGCATCCATTACCCACCTTTGAAATATGATTTACCCAATGATTATCACTCTTTTGTCAGTGTTTTGTGTTCATTCTGTAATCATGCTTGTTTCTGTGACTATAGTTTGTTATTTTTTATTTTCTATTTATTTAATACAGGGTCTCACTACACAGATCAGACTCAGTGATTCTCCTGTTTTCAGCCTCCCATGTGCTGGTATCACAGGCATGTGCCACCATGCCCAGTCTGTCACTGCCTCGGCATGCCCTGTGGATAGGGCTGGCACAGCATGCCAGGAATTGAACCTGGCCTCTGGAATAGTTTTGTTTTTACAGCTTCTTAGCATTGTGCCTTCAGGACTAAAACTCTTCCTGAATTCTGTTTTCTACTTAACAGCATTCTGTTATCTTGGACACTTTGTCGGGTTTTTTGTTTTTTTTTTTTTGTATTTTAGGGAAGGGTCTACAGGGTGTTCATGGTCTCACTACTACATGGACTTTGTAGTGATCCTCCTGTTTACAGCCTCTCAAGAACTGAGATTATAGGTAGGCAGCACCATGCCCAGCCTCAGTTGCTATCTCAGCAGGCCCCAGGGGCGGGGCCGGCACGGCAGGCCCAGGGATCATCGAACCCCTGGCCAGAGTCCGCTGAGCTGTTTGGCTGGCCCTATCTTAGACACTTTGAACTTAATATATTTTAAGCCAAAGTTTTTTTTTTTTTTTTTTTTTTTTCATTTATGTAATTGGTACAGGGCCTCACTACGCAGCTTGGACTTGGAGTGATCCTCCTGTGTTAAGCCGCATCAGTGCTGGGATTATAGGCGTGCAGCACCATGCCCAGATTCAATCACTGGCTTCATGCACTGCAGGGGTGGGCCTGGCCCTGCATGTAGGACCAGGGATCAAATCCTGATCCCTGTGCTTGCCAAAGTAGGCGCTTAGTCTGCTGAGCTATTTTGCTGGCCCTTGCCAAAATCATTTCTTTATTTGACCCAATTTTTCATCAAAACAGTATACCTTGCCAACTATATCTTGTAATAAATAATGATGTTAATCTTCCATCCAGTCTTCTGTATGGTAAATTTACTAATTTTTTTTATGGTACTGGAATATGCTGTAAATTTAATATATAGTTACCAAGCAATTGTAGTCCCAGGTGTACTAAGTTCTCTTTCCATGCTCAGTAACAAGGTTACTCTGTCATTGTGCACTTTATCTCAACACATCCAAACTCTTAAGAGCTGTACGCTTGAATATGCCTTCTCATTCTTTCACTAAAGCTTTTTATCATGTGCCCTTTGCTAATGTAATGGTTCCTTTTTTGGTATTCTGGTCTGTACTCCTCTACAACAAATCTGATCACATGAGGGCCCCCCCCCCAGCAAGCTCCTTACATATGACAAGTCCCTTTGAAAATTCATTTAAAGAGCCTTCTAGGTGTTTATATGTTGTATAACAGAGTATCTTATATCTGCAAGTTACTGATCCACTCAAGCTTCTGGCTTTTAGTCTTAACATTCTGGGCTGTACAAAATTCTCTTTGTAGTCTGTGATGAGAACTAAGAAAGCAGCTGGTCAACACCAGAGCTGTAGGCTGGCCTCATTCTAAGATTTTTCAGCATCATTTCCCTGTTAGGAATCTCATGGCTTCTCCATTTAAATGCACTGCTCCCCAGTGCCAGGCCCATGCCCTTTTTATTCATGACTTTGTACTTTCTTTCCTCTGTAAACTTGGATACATTTTCATATAACATATCTATTGTTGCTTCTTGGACTGGAATTTTAAACTTTTCCAGGTCAAAGATTTTGACTTGGTTATATCAGTAACTAGTGCTTGGCACAGTGCCTGACCTTTAGCAAACAAATGAATAAGTACTAGATGTAGAAGGAACACTAATGATATTTTTACAACACTACATACAAGTCACTAAATGAAACAAAATGATAATTTAAGATGAGAGCAAAGATCCACAACTTATTTTACATGGTTAAAAACTGAATTTTGACTGGACATTTTATCTAGGAAATGTTTATTAAGGTTTACTGTGTGCCTTGCACTGTGCTGTGTTCCCTAACAGACAAAGCAAAGATTTACAATTTAGACAGGGAGCTATGTAACCTGTTGTGGAAAAGCCCAGGGAAGATAGTGTGTTTGGAGAATGAAAGACTGGGCACATCCAGAAAGCAATGAAACAGTATAAAGGAGAAGACTATATTTCAGAGAGGGTAGGACATGCTGATAGAGAGCTAGTACGTTATTGCCTTCTGTGCCTTGATTTTATCATCAAGGGTCATGCATTTTCTGGGAGTTTCCTATTTCTGCTTTCTTCCATGTACTTCATTTCTTATGGTGTACTTGGTACTTTGTAAGAAAATAATAGGCAACAGCTTTATGATAACAAAAACTAACTTCTAAGAAACAGTAATCTAAAGTTACATCACGATAAGTTGCTTTCTTATACTTCCAAAAAGATAGGTAAGGTATGGATAGCTAGGAAATCTCTCAAAACAAAGAGAACAGTGTGTGTACAGCCTTAGGAAGAGAATTGACAGATTGGTTCATAGTTAGAGCTTTCCATCAGAACTCCTCAGCTATCTTTTCCCTGAAGAAGAGCTGTACAGCAGGGAGGTAGGAGGGAAGAGACACAATCATTAGACCAAGAGTAGGGTGAAACAATAGGGAGCGTTTAGGCACAGGTGTCTGAGGTGTGGTTCAAGTTGTTACCATGTTTTTTGGAATTGTTGGAGAAGGAACCACCTGTGTGGTTTCATCCTGTCAGTTAGAACCAGTCTCTATCTCAAGTTGCTGTACTTCAGGTTTGTGTCTCTATGTTCCAAGACTTAGGGGAATCCTGGGTCATAGGTACTATCCTAAATAGGAAGGGGATTAGCGTTGTTTGGAGTTTACTGTATCAGGCACTATATTCTACTTTATCACAGTGTCTTTTCAATTCTCAGGCCACACTACTATAAAAGAATATCAGTTCAAATAAAACAGAGAGCTAGAGGTTTAATACTTCTGTAAGATCATATAGGTACTGAAGTGACAGAACAAGAACATAGTTTGGATTTTCTCTGAGTCCAAAGCACCTGCTGTGTCCATCCTTCCCATTGCATGTAGATGCTGACCTCTAGGTTAACTCACAGAATCTGAGTTAAAGTATAGTTTAAGTTTTCTTTGTTTCTCCTCCATTCCTGATACTTCTCACAGTGTACATTAGAAGAGAAGAATTCTTAGACACACAAATAGTTTGACACACAAATACTTGAGTGCTTATTCTGTATCTGCCATTAGTTAGAACTATGAGCAGAAGTGCATAGTTTTGTAGCCTGGGTCTACAGGTACAGTGGTACCTCAGTTCACGAACTTAATTTCACGATTCTGGTCACAAGCAAATCAGATGAGAACTGAATCAGATTTCCTTATAAGGTCAGTATTGAACTTG